ACTTAATTTATTAAGTATTATTTACTATGCTTATAGTAAATGAACTGTCAGTAAAAACTTTGTACTGTCTACTACTGTGAAAAAAATATTAGAAATCCGAAATATTTATTTTTCATATTAAAAGATAAACTTTTTGAAACTCTTTTTTACCGTATATCCCAAACAGGTGGGATATACAAGACAATAAACTAAACAAAGAATACAAGAGTAAAGTACTTGTAAAGTACTTTTGTTATACAACATGCTTTACTATTCCTCTACACTCATGTATCACAAAATAACCACTAATTCTTTTGCGGAATGGTAAATATGTATATAATATAATAAATAATAATTACATTCTTCCTACATATATATTACAAGTTATGAGGTTTCATATAATACGTTTATTGCATTTAGTGTACTGAATTCAATTTGCGCACTTTGTATGCTTTGAGCTTAATTCCCGCTCATTAAAAATGCCGTATATTCCAAACAGGTGAGATATACAAGAAAACAAACTAAAAAAAGAATATGAAAGCAAAGCAATTGTATTTTGCTACATAACACGTTTTACAATTCTACTACACGTATGTATCACGAAATAACCTATCACTAAGTTCAATCACTAAGTTTTTGATACATCCTATAGTAATCATTTTATGTAGATTATAATTTATGTTGGCATTATTACAGTGACAAATCGATCGAGTTCAACTCACAATAATTTCATTAATATTAAGAAGCTATAACCATAATACAATACTAATATAACATAAAGGCATATTATAGGATAGTTGCAGGAAAATTATCCCCACTTCTTCTATTTTTTTCTGACTTCTGCGGCGTAAATCCCAGCGCGACGTATTTGCCGGAGTTACCCTATACAAAATTATTATATATAAAATTATATATAATTATATGTAAAATTGACATATATATTTTATATTCAAATATATAATTATATATAAAATATGTCCATATATATTTTTTTTCCAAGTTATTATAAAAAAAAGAAATATATTTTGATAGACGCGAATTTCCGCTGATTTGTGGTGTGTGATATGCCCTGTGCGCCAAATTGGATAATTGTCTAAATATAAGATTACATATAGATCACATCTTTCAAACAACACAAACTCTAAAATTGTGTTATAAGACGTTTTTAAGTCATCTTTTAGAAGCCAAAAACGTCTTAGATACTTCTTGTTATCTAAGCTTACTAATTTGCATTGTCTACAATAAATATAGAATATTATATAGAATATTAAATGTGTAATATAGAATATTATAATTTACGCGTAAATGCACAATCCTGATATTCAACACTTTTTTTATTCTTGGTGAATTTTTTTATTTACCCGCGCGTGTACATATTTTGTATGCATAAATACATGTATGACTAAATAAAGAAAATTTTTATTCATTAAAAAAAGACCAATGATTATCTGCTAATCAAATTTAGTCATTAAATTTAATTTTTTATGTGTTATTTACGTCGTAACGACGAGATAGCCAACATAAGACCATAGATTTAAGCAAGAAGAACATGTATCCTTGTGAAATGCATAAGAAAATGAACCAAAGTTTTTTATTTCCTTTCTTTCCATACAATAGAGGACTTCGATTAGTCGATTTTTTTATCGCGTTTCGATTTACTTACGCCTTATGCCTTATACACTATATAAGAATGTACTCTTCGCTTTAGCATATATTACTTATTCTATTGCTGCTAGTACATCAGAGAAGAAACCTGTAAGAGCTGCTGCAATTTTTTTTTAAACACGACGTTCCAGCTCTAATTTTGAAGGTCTTCAGCAGTAACTTCTAAAACATTCTCTTATTACAATTATAAAAAGAATAGTGTCTATATGAAAGGGTTGGATTCCACACAGTAGCCTCGAGCTTCTTACAGTACGATTCTTTCGACACACAGATAAGTACGTAAATATTTTTTTCTCATTAGAACACAGCTAAATTGTAATGTTAAATGTATTTTTTTTTTCCAATTTGCTCCACATCTCCATACACTACAAATGCTTAGAATTATGAATACTTATGTTTATACAATATCATACACTCCTAGGCCGGTATTCATAGTCGATTTCAATTTCCTTTTTTATAAATCTTTATATGATTTTTTTTTACCGAATTATTCAATGTTGAAGCAAGAGTCGGTTTTGCTTCAAAGGTGAACAACTGGCAACAATGCATATGCCTAACGCTGATTGGTTACGCCATTAGGTGTATTTGATGTTAATTTGAAGAAGACAGCGAGAAAGAACAGATTGAAACGAGGAATTATTGCGTCACATAGATATTCTAGATGTAGGAATACCAAATGGCAACTTCCGGTTAATTGGCGTCATTCTCTTTATAGCCACTCTAGGCATCTCATTCTCTGTTTCTTTATATTCGCTCACGCATTCTTAGCTGGCTCCCCTATTTTACACGTACAACCTCTTTGAGGATTAGTCGACATTCAGATTTGGAAAAGTCGATTCTTGACTTCTCCAACTAGCCGACTAATAGTCGACTTTTTGTCGACTTCGTGTTGTCTGGGAACCCACTTTTTCTTGTATTTCACGCGTTTAGTATGTAATTCGAGTTTTACTCGATATTATAAGGCAAGAAATTAAAACCTAATACCAACTAATTTACCATTTGGTTTAAATTTATCAAAATTACAGCTTCCTACGTATCACAATAATTTAGAGTGCAATATGACGGACATGAAAAGGGTTGTACCTTTTTACTATTCATCAAGTGGTAATACGAAGGAGGACAAGGTCAGTTCTATAGCGACTTCTCTTTTATTTTTTTCACATCTCTTTTATTTTTTCAAAATTCAATTTTACTAACTTCTCGTATTTATTACTTGTTTTAACTGATTTCTGTTGTTTAGATACTTTTAGAACCGATCGAATACATTCAGCAATGCAATGATATACATCCATACAGAAAAATACCGTCGGTTTTTAACTACTGGTTTAAAGTATCACCCGATAAATTGCAACTGATTGACGAAGTAATGCAAATGGCCTATAGTGCAAGCATCGCGTAAGTTATTTTTTATTGTAAAACATAACTGAAACTTAAATACATAACTGAAACTTATGTATTTTTTTTTTAAATCATGCGCGCGATAAAAAATAAGATACAATCTTTCCAACGAAAATTACATTTTCTTCTAGAATATATATATTACGAAAATTTTTCTCTTTTTATACATCTAATATACCGTTCTCTCGCAAGGAAAGTGACAAGAGTCATTTTAATTCAATACAAAATTTCTGTTCAATATAAAATTATTCAGACAAGTGAGAGGGGGGGGGATAAGAAGAACATTGAGTATTTTATAAAATTATTATTTATTACGCATTGATAGAATTATATATAAATTAACTTATTAGAACTAATCACAAGTTGTTTATTCAAAATTTTCTAGAAGTAATGTAGATAATAATTTTGTTATGATGTTATATGTTACCCTTCATGTTATTTTTAAAACTTTTCCTTGTATTGTTTTTCTTTAGGAAGTATTTAACATATATCACTTTTCCTAAAAGTCAATGCATTTAGAATACGATCCTCGCATACAAAATACAAAATTTAAAAAATTTATGTCATTCTTCTTGCGGGAGTATAACATTTTAACAATGATTTATATAAAAAAATTTTTTAGATAAGTCTTGATCTTCCACTTCAATTATTGTTATGCTGCTACAATCTGTTATATTTCTGACTTCACATTTTTTTATTATACTTATTTTTAATATAAATGTTACAAAAAAAAGATAATGCAGCCTCTCTACTGACTGAAAAGGGTAATTTCACTATAATTTTATAAATTTATGAAGTTTTTGTTTCTTGCTAGATTCGATGATATTCAAGATGAGGCCATTATGCGAAATGGTTTTCCTGTAACCCATTCTGTTTATGGACTTCACTACTCAATAAACGCTGCAAATTATTTACAATTTCTTGCTTGTGAAAAACTTATCAATTTACATCCCATGGTAATAAGTGGTTACGTTATGTCTGTGTAAAATTATGTCTTTTACATTATGTCTTTTGCATTATGTCTTTGAAAAATTGAATGCGATTTACTCTCTTAATATTTTATAATCAAAATGTGAAATAGATAGTTTTACCAAAATTCCTTTTTAGATATCCTTGCATGCATAAAAAAGATACAAATTGAGTTGATTACAGTCTTTATTCGTTTCTTATCTGTTGAAGATGATTAAAACTTAATCCTGAATGTCAAGTCTATTTTAATGTTGTTAACGACTTTTTTCGTATAAATCATAAAATAAATTATTAAAATAATAAATCTCATTATAAAATTGCACTTTTTAC